TGCTTTCAGTTAACAAGTCTCTGGTCTGAAGGGCAGCAACTGTTCAGAAGCGGAGAATGCGGCCTCAGGAAGTGCCCACGCTGGCTACAACCCACCACTCACACTATAGTCTAAGTGACAGGGTCCCCAGGAAGACAGCCAGGCGTGGCAATCCTGAGCACGCTGGAACTCACCGACCCCAGAGAAACCAGGTTGTCTCTTCACCTTCGCTCCTCTTAAATCTCTGGGGTGTGGACTCCTGATTGCCTTTTTCCAGAGGGCAAAACTGATGCGCAGAGGCTCAGTGACTGACTGGCCAGCCCATACCTAAGCAGGCCGGAGGCCAGACACCCAGCGGCCAGCGGCCAGACACACAGGAGGTTGCTGGGGCCACTTGCAAAGCGGAGGGGCCAGGGGGCCTGTGGGTGAGGGCGCGCGCTCCTTACCTCACACTTCTCCACCACCGGCTGCTGCCCACACTCTGAGCTGTTGCCCGCCACGATGCCAGCGCGCAGGTTCTCGCTGTCGCCGGTGCCCTCCTCCATGGAGTAGGTCTTGGAGTGGTTCCCCCGGCGCTGCGTGGGCCCTCGGCCCTGCGCCAGGCTGAGCTGCCTGCGGAGCGCGCGGTTCTCCTCCTCCACCTCACGCACACGCACCTCCAGGCTCTCGCGCTCCCGCTGGCTGGAGGCTGCGTACCGGGGACTGTGGGGCTGGGACTCCAGTGGCGACAGAGACACCGGCTTCCCATCTGAGGGTGAAGAAAGAGGGGGAGAGAGTTAACCTGGAATGGACACTCCTCCGACGCCCGCATCCCCTCCATGCACCCCAGACATCCATTATTAAATAGTGAGGCGCCTTTCACATTTAGATGGGAAAGCAGATGGAAAGTGAATTACAAATAAATGCCTCCAGGCTGAACTGGGAACAGAGTTGAGAACAGAATGACTTACTACAGTGATAAAAACGAATCTGCTGTTTCGAGAAGATAGTCAAAATACCATTTGTCCTAATTAAATGTACCTCCTTGTTTTTCCTACTTGACATTTGTATGTGACAATCTCCTTATCTGTAAAGAACTATGGATGTGTAGGAGCAGAAGAAGGGAAAGGAGGACAATGGGAGGAAAGAGAAGGGAAGAGAGAAAGAACAGGAAGATGTGGCAGAAAGCAAAAAAAGCAAGAGCAGGAGAGAAAGGAAGAGAAAGGTGGAGAAGAATCATAAATAAGAAGTCCGTTTAGTTCTATGCGAACTCCTCTTCATCCCTCAAAACCCTGCTTCAAAAGCATCACCTCCGAGGGGATGCCTTTTTCAATTTACAAGCAGAAATATCACATTGCATATTCCAACAGCATTTTGTATGCACTGCTACAGAATCCTGCAAAATATTGTCACGCTGTTTGTAAATTGTTTTTGCCAAATGTATCTTATAAAGAGTAGAAGTTGAATGAGGGCATAGACCAAGTGATACTTATCTTCAAGGCAGCATGTCATAATATATGATAAATGTTGAAATGGCTGAAGCATGTGTCCATGTCCAGATAAAATAACTAAGGGCAATAAGAAAGGAAAACGGGGCCTCCCTGGCGGTGCAGGAGTTAAAGTGTCAGCTCTCTCAAGCTATCACCAGCCACTGTGACATGAGTCCTTGTCCAAGGAGCTGACCCACATGGCGCGGCACACCTCCCCTGACCTACCTGCTGCTCCCCTCGGTAGCGTATTTCACTAGATTCCCCTGTTCTACTCCCCACTCTGTCTCTGGTGAATCCAGTCACCCCTGCACCTCTGGCCTGCACCCAATTCTTGTATGCATAAATAAGTAAACCTTTATGTTTTTTTAAAAGAAAAATGTACAAGTGTTACCAATCTCAAAATTTTCCCAAACAACATACCATTCAGCCAAGCACCAGAAATGTTCCATTTCCCCATCATTCACAGGAAGGATAAGAAGGTTAAAGTCCACAACCAGATTGCAGTGTGGTCACGGTCTACACCTCAGTCTCGCTTACATCTGCATTGTTTACTCCCCAGTTAAACGCACCTTCGTAATGCAAAGCCCCCCCTTATCTGCGGGCACATGTTTCAAGTCCTCCCCAGTGGAGAACTCTACACACGCTATTGTTTCATATACATATACACCTACAATAAACACGATCAGTGAGATTAACAATAACAATAATAAAAGAGTGATGATGCAAACAATATTTTAAAAATAGCGCAAAAATAAATAAAAAAAGTGAATGTATCTTATCGATCAAAATTTCAAGAGGCTTGCAGCTGTTCAGGGAATTAAAATCTCAGAATGTGAAGCTGTGGGTGAGAAGACCATATGGGGCTGGATGTAGAAAACATGTCATTAATGCAAAAGTCTCATCTCCCAAGTGCTTCACCTGGCATACAGTAGGTGCTCCATGTATGCCTACTGTTGAGAAAACCAGTGACACAGGACACGCCCAGAGTGTCCTCCTCTCTGTCCCCATGCTGCCAAAACTCAGGATTCCGGGCCCAAGGGCCAAAACCACACCCCTGGAAGACGACCCTCTTGCATCTGTCTGGCCCCAAACACTCTACCTTCCCACACCTGGAGTGTGTCCCGTCCTCTCCAAACCCCACAGAGCTTCAATATTGTCCCAGACAGTTTCTGTGGCTCGTGAAAGTGGAGTATCAAGGCGTGTGATGGATGACATCCTGGGGGTGTCCCTGCTGTCTTAGGGCGTGGGCTGCGGGACTCATGTCTGGGTTTCCATAAGCCCCTTTCTTTGCTTCCTCATTGCCTCAGGCTTATACTCTGACCTCCTGGCCTTCGCCTATCAATGCAGCAAATAGGACTCACCAAACTCCCCCACTTGGAGCCCAGATCCACAGGGCACTGCAGGCCTATTACAAGCCCCCACCCTACGTTTTGAAGCCTGTCTCCTTGGTTGGTAAAACCCAATTAGTTCACAAGAAAGAAGAGGCCGCTTCCAGCAGCGGTCTTTTCGCCAGGCCCTGGAGCGTTGGGGAGGCTGGACAAGATGAGCACTGGCCTGGGACGGTGGCTGAGGGGCCCTCTGTGTCGTGTTCACCGTCTGCACAGAGCTGGGGGGCACGTACTGCTGAGGCATGAGGCTGTCACGGCCCAAGCAGGTGGCAGGTGTGTCCCTGGGAGGTGCGCGGCCCAGGAGCCAGGTCCTCACAACAGCACGTGGCTCCTGCATGCACCACAGAGCCAGAGACAGAGCCCCAGATGCTCTGGGGCCCTGGAACTCAGGGACACAAAGAGGCCCACTGGCTCCCGAAAGCCTTGGAACATTTCAGCACACAGAACACCAAGCCTGTCCTGTGGGGGAGTTACTTGCGTGCTCAGAGCCTCAGCTTTCCCCTCTATGTAGCAGCCAACTAGCCTTGTACAGGTGATGGAGGCTTGGAGAGACACCCCAATGCCGAGCAGCAAGTGCCATGCCTCCCGCTGGAGACAAGACTCCTGACCTCCGGCTACTCCTTCCCGGGGGCTGGGGACGGTGGGGAGATGGCTTGATGGTGTGAATTAGGGTGGTGGAGGCTGGAGATTTTCTAAGCACAGAGCTGTTCTCTGAAAGCCCACAGAGGCAGGCAGCAAGAGCGCATGATGTGCCTTCAGCCTGAGGCAGGTGGAGGCTCATCCACAGGCCGCAGCTCCCAGCAGGGCCTGGTCACTCCGCGGCTCCTCTGCCTGGCATGTACACATGGCCCTTTCTTCGACTGCACGCTTAGAAAGACAGGCTCAGAGACGCCGCGACTCCCAAGACTGTCCATTGCCTGCTCTAATCCACACCCGAACGGCTCTCACCAGCCTCGCGGTCAAAGACGTGCATGAGTGCTCTTACAGATTGTCCCTTGGGATAATAAAGGCCAGGCCTCCGTAAGGCACGGCTATTGGCAAGGAGGCCCTGGAGACCAGCTCAGCAAAAGGCAGAATCAGAATTTCTGGCTTGCTTGTCTGTTTAAAAGCACGTTTTTTAACACTGAATGAAATGTTACTGATCTAGAGCACTCCATGCATTTGGGGTGTATCTTCACCCCCGTGTGTATGGGGGCCTCGCCCCCCCCACCCAAGTACTAATGTCCTTTCCATTACTGGGCTGACCCTCAACCCCTCCCTTCACTCCTCTTCATTGCTTCTGAATTTTCCATTTCCCAGTCCATATTTCAGAGCCTAAGGATTATTTTGTCGTTACTCACTAGCTTGTTTGCTCTAAGCATGGAGAAAATATCCAGTAGCTGCCTTTCACTTTCTGACTTATTTCAGGCAGCAGCGTCACCTCAAGTTCCATTCATCTTTTCTAATAGCTGAGTCATATTCCACGAGTACATATACCCTGGGTGCTTTAGGATGTTTCCATCACACACACACACACACACACACACACACACAGAGCACTGGTCTGTTTCTCTGGAGATCTCCAATAAGGGTCACACTGAGGGTTCTGTCCAATACCAGGTTTCTCTAACCCCAGGCCCCGCACATTGCCTGCCCTAATAATCTCAGAGGGAAGAATTGGCACCTAGAACCTAAACAAGTGAATGTAGTCTTAAACTACTAGTTCTTTAAAAAGTGACCGCGTTAGGGCCCTCCCTGGTGGCGCAGCGGGTTAAAGCGCTGCACTAAAAAGCTAAAGCCACTTCTGCATGAGTTCGATCCCCACCCGCCCCGGAGGAGAGCCACATGGCGTGGCAGACTTCTCCTGACCCGCCCGCTGCTCCCCTCAGCAGTGTACTTCGTCGATCTGCCTGTTCTGCTCCCCGCTCTGTCTCTGGTGAAGCCTCTCACCCTCCGCATCTCTGGCCTGTACCCCAGTTCTGTACGAATAAATAAATATTTAAAAAAAAAAAGTGACTGCGTTATAAAATTCAGTCTTGGGAAAAGATGACGAGGTTCCCAGAAAAGGAAACAAATCAAGTAGAGTCCTAAGATCACGAGGTAGGGAACAAGAAAAAGCTAAGCAGGAAGGGTGGTTCTGCTACTTCCTGACAGGGTGTAAAATGGGGGACAGGAGTGTGTGCATTAGGTTAGAGTAGATCAAGCCCCACCCCATACACACAGCACCCACCAACCTGGAGGCAGAACACCCAGAGGTGACAGCAAATGGGACCCTCCTTTCTGAGGTCCCTCCCCTTTGCTTCTCTGTACCTTCCTTCCAGGTTCTTGCTACTGTTAGACACGCGCAGTCTGTTGGTACACACGGTGCATCGTGCCACATCATACCTGTTTGTGCGCTTCTGTGGTTCAGCCCACTTTGAGCTTAAAATGCCAGAAGAGACATTATTCAAAACCTTAGTTGACAACATCTTCCTCCGTCCTCCAAAATTTCTCAACAAACATGAATTTATCATCACATTTGAATCTCTGAATCTACTTGAGATGAATGTGCTGAATGAAGAATCAAAACATCCAAGATTCAGAACAAAAAAGGTAAATTGAAAATCAGCTTCCAAGCAGTGCAGGACAGAGATGAGGGACTTGTCAGAGAAAAGTCCCCGTGATGACAAGTGGGCTTGTGCGCCCGGATGTCCCCAGAGCTCCCCAGAGGCTGGTGTTCAGGGTGACACCAGCGCTTGCAAGTAGACAGAAAAGGGGTTCACCAGGAGCTAGGGCCAGGCCTAGATGGCCTCCAGCCCTCAGGGTGCATGCCAGGTCCTTCTATTGGTCAAGAACAACTACAGCTCCTCGCTCATGCCAGAGCAGCTTCCCCTCCCCCACAACGCCCCATCCAGGAGGAAGACACTGCTTCC